GAATATCTTGAACTTGTTTAGCTTTCATTTATTGGAGTTCTTTCTTCACTTGTCAAAGCGAACAATTTCAAACGTTGGATTTGAGATGAATACAGTCATATTATTGAACTGTTTATTTGTTTGAAGAAATCATTTATTAATTATATGAATTGTTATGAATGTTATGGAAGAAGTCGATACACATTGCATAGATGAACAACCTAAATACGTTAGTCATCAGCCAGAGTAATACTTCATAATCTTTTAGTTTACGTTGGAATCGCTTCACCGGCAGATGTGATCACGAACGAGTTCTTGTTGTGTTTCTATGTTTGTTTCGAGTACACAACATTGCCGTTCTTAACAACATGTTTGATAAGTGCATTATGTCCACCGAACTGATAGATTATGTGTTCCCATCGTGGCGCATCTGTAAACTTTCATCGACATTCGCTTGAAATTACCACTCTGAGTTCTTCCCGAAGCCATATTCACGGCCCCGGAAACTTACGAGTCGAACTAATTATGTCTTGAAAGTCTATAGATTTCTCGGAAATACGATAATTCAGAAGTAATCAATAGGAATTTTGTTCTCTGTTTGTAGTTGCACTATTTAGGACATAAATTTAGGCATATTTAGCATCTGGAAAGAAACGTTGCCTAAATTTGCTCTCCAGTGAGTAACCGGATCAAATCACTGAGCAATTCAGTAAGTAATTAATGAATTGGTTACCCAGGACGATGAGATCAGCATTTCGACCCTTATGTATGGAACCATGTGTTTTACCACGTTGCAACGAGTGTGCAGCGTTGATTGTCGAAGCTATCAGCGCTTCACTCATCGAAAGATACATATCAACGCAAGCAAGATTCATCACCATCGGCATCGAATAGCAGTACGCGTTCGGGTTGAAGTCCGATCCTAACGCGACTGAAATCGATTTTGATTATAAAAATCAAAAACAACGAAATAAAATTTATAACAAATCTATGACATTATCGTGCATTTTAACGAGCTCATTTGTTTGCAAAATACCGATTCAGTCAACCATTTCAGTTTGTGAATATTTTGTAAGAAGAACTTTTAGAAATTCAGAAATGTTTTTCCATAGATCACAGAATACAACAGATGGAATTTCTGGAAATTTGATATAAATTTGAGGAGAGATATTGATGAAACCTACCGATCACACCACTATCAATCATCTTTCTGGCTGGTGGAGGAAACAGACGTAGCATATATGCGGTTGTTGGTAAGAGGACAGCAACAGTACCAGACTTTTGCATGGCTCTAATGCCGTTATCACTGACCTTCTCCAAATGACTCATTGCTCGAGCCTTAAAAATTGGCTTGATCATGACTTGGTACATATGTTATAGTTAATTTGTATCGTTAAATATATCGTTAAGTTGGAACATATCGTTAAAATCTGCTCTATTCTTATCGTCATTTCTCTAACTAGTAAGAAAAATCGCAGTACTTCAATCTTCTTGTCAGCTTCAGTGAAGTACGAAAATGAATAACATACAGAGAAGTAGGTGATAATGAATAGCATAGCTTTATCCATACATTTTATTATGGTGATATTTATTTCCGAATGTGTTTCTTTCATTTCATCAATTCCTGTTCAAAACACCACTTCACAGGATGTTACAGTTTAAAATAAACGTGCTAACGCTCTCTAATGCAATCTGGAAGTTTAAGATTGACATGTTTCTGAACAAATGGCTTGCGGCTTTCTTACCCCGATTTCAGCTCCCATCTCAGCACCACCAATCTGATTCAGCTCTTCGGCATGGAAATTTATGGCCAGGCCAGCCTTCTTGCCAGCCTCAAGGATAGTTCGGCTGAAACGAAAATCATGAACACAAGGAATCGTTATTGGTAGATCTGTTGATTTGGTAGTATCATTTTATTATATCACTGAGTATTCCGTATCGTAGGTTCGGTTAAAAAACCATCCAAAAAACTTGAATAATATCATGGAACTAGAATGCATTGTCAACATTTTGAGCACAACCTTGAATCCACTTCGAAATTTCCTTTCTCACAGAATACATCAATATTTTCGATTGTCTGCAAACGCCCTTCGTTCTTTTCGTTAATAATCAACGGTATCATTTCATTTACGATCAGATTCGTTTGATCGTGTTCAGTGGTGCCTTTTGGAACAGCATGACCACCGCAAAATGTTCCTGATAGTTCGACTGGTAAGTAACCTGAGGCCATATCGATAACATTCAACATTTTCAGTTCGGATTCCGTGTTCAGCCCTGCAAAATGATCACAATTGCTAAAATGACAACGCACTTCACAGAGTATAATCCATTTTCATTCGTTTGTTTGAATTATTAAATGACTTGTATATGTTCTCTGAATTATATATTTTCGGTTTAATTTCCACAAATTTTGAATTCCGAACAAATTTTGAAAGAGAATATAAAGCGGAATGTACCGTAGCCACTTTTCGCTTCCAATGTGGTCGTGCCGCTTTTCAAAATTTCCATTGAAATCAATTCAAGACCATACAACAACTCCTCCTCGGATGCCTCACGAGTTTTGTTCATTGTATACAAAATACCGCCACCTTCTTCTTGGATCTAAAATTCCGATGGGAATGAACTACAGAATTATTCGATGAGTGCAATCGGAAGGAAAATCACTCTCTATTCGCTATATGAAATTAGGTTTTAGTTTTGTTTCCATTTCATTATGTGATAGCGACGAAAAAAGAACTGATCATTCGATAGGTCAAAAAATATTCGACTGAAAACACCAAACCACTGCAAAAATCACGAAATGAATTCGCTCAGTTCAGCAAACAAACATTGTTAAGTGCTCAGAGCACAAGGTTCCAGTTAAGTTTTCGAACAGATCAGAAAAATGCTTTCAGATTCATTAAGTTCACCTTCATGTACGAT